ACATTCCCCCAAACAGACTGGGTTCGTGAGAACCCTGAACTTCTTGCTGAGTTTCTTTGAGGTTCTTCGAAGTCTCTTATGAGGTTGTTAGCTCCACCCTGACCACAACAAATGGAACAACACTTCCTAACCTGTGTGAAAGAATAAATATCCCTTGCAGTCATGTTTATACACTGTAGCTTTCCATAATGAGTGTAATACATGTAATGCTTCAGTTGTCCCATAATGTGCCATAATGAGAAATCAGCGAATTACAGAATGGCCTGGGTTGAAAAGGACTATAATGATCACCCAGTTTCAACCTCCCTGCCATGTTCAGGGTCACCAATGACTAGACCAGGCTGCTCAGAGCCACATCCAGCCTGGAATGAATCGGGGCTGGGGGCAGTTCTGGCCATCAGTGGCCTCAACATCCTGACTGAATATTTCTATGATTCCACTTAGAAAGCAAAAGTATTGCTTTACCTCCCATCCAAAGTGCTCCCAGGCACTGAGGAATTAAAAGAAACCCTCTGTACTCCTTTCTGTTTTGTCTTTTTCTAGATTCAGAGCTAATTGCTCTTACCAGCAGTTTTCCCCAGGGAGTCATTATTAGGTCCCCTGTAGCCCTGTTTTTTGGTCCTCTCATCTCTTCTGAGCTCATGGTTTCTGCAGTGCAGAGCTCCACAGGCTTTCCTGTTACCTCAGCTGGTCCCACTCGCTCTCAGGGATAAGCTGCAGCTCAGTAGCTCTGACGGAGCTATTGGAACAATAGCATTGTTGCCTGAATAAAAGCATAATGAAAAATGGCCCTTCAGAGATCAAACAGATAATCAGGAATGCCTTACTCTATGAACTCTTACCAGGTTTACAAGGAAACCATGAATACTCCTTCACTATTTTCTAGGGCCCCTTCCTTTACCCATTTGGGACTTGAATTGTCAGCACGCAATCCCTGTCCTGAGTTAAGCTGGTGTTGCTATAACGCTTCTGGTCTTTTCCCTAGCACCTTCCTGAAACATGTTAGATCGAGACAGGGTATTTTCTCAATAACAGAAGTTTCTGAAGTCTAGGAAACTGTAGTTTGTTCAGTGAATGCAATTCCTATAGGTTCTTGTCTGACCCACTTAGCCAGACATACAATTGTTAACAAAACCTGCAGGAGATAGATAAATCCATAGCATTGATGAGCAGCCTGCGTATGCTCCAGATGCCCAAAGCATCTGTCCCTTTGCCAACTGTATGACCTTGAATAATCCATGACACTGCAACTGTCACAGGTGCTCTCCCATGATGAATACTTTTAGCTGATTTTTTAAAGGTATGAAAATCAGCATCTCTGTTGGAATAGGTACTGTTGTGTGTGTGCTCTGCCTGGGATTTGAGCTCCACTTCTGGGAGATGGCTAGGTGAGGAATGACCATGCACCACAAATACCCAAGCTCAGTGCTGAACTGGGCGCTCAGCCTCATAGTCCTGCAGGTTCCTCAGCACAGATATATAATTCCTTGGGCACTGGGATCAGTTCCAGCCCTTCCTATGTAGAATTGGATATGTAGAAGATACTCCTTCATATTCCCAGAATTTATCATAGTTGATGTGACCGTGGAGAAAAATTTAAGATTCTTTTCTCACAAGAAATTGTCATTGAGACTATGAACAGCTTTTGATGATAGTTGCAGAAATGTGTCAAGGGGAAAAAAAAACAGATGATAACGTTACAAAGCAGCTGTGTCTCCTGCGTCAGGACCTTCAAAGCACAAGATGTTCTGCTTTCTTGGCCTTTTAGACTGCTTTGTTCTAAAGATGGTAATTAGTTGGAAGTTTTCTGCAAGCTTTTGATGGCCTATTAAATAATGTTGCTCTTGTCTTTTAACAGTTGACATCTCAACGTATTAAGCTTGTGAACACTTTTGACCTAGTAACATGCAAGCTTATATCACACAGAAAAGTTTTCATTTTCTGATGCTAAAGAAGCCAACTGAATTTGGTAGTTTTGGTTTCAAGAGAGTCATTTGTAAGCCTAGTGCTAGGTAAGCAAATGGATAATAATGTCTGATAATATTTACAATTATAATCAAGGAAAAATGCAGACCTCTCAGAATTAATCCAATAAATAAATAAAATCCATTGCTCAGAAATGATGACTCTTTACTCAGGCACTGCTTCTAAAATGGTGTTGTTTAGGATCACATAAATATTCATAAAATCAAATGGCAAAAATGGCAAAAATGGAAACAAATCGCAAAAAACAAAGGCAATGGCAGGGGAAAATAGTTTGACAAGATTCACAAATGAAGTTTGCCAAGGGTGGGTTTTTCTCTCACCCAGAATAATGAGATCAGAGGCCTTCAGATTCTCTTCTGAATCTGGGATTTATGCATGCAAATGGCCTTTGTGTCTTCTAGATGATTTCTGTTTCCTATTACAGCACTCTGCTTCCCCAAGAACAGTATGGAACCATTCTAGTTTGCCTGCTAATTAAGTGTAAAGTTGTCTGAATTTCTTTATTAATACAAATTTTAATGCTCTCATTGAATGTAATATATTATGTTTCCACTTGCTTCTGAGCTTACCAGGAAGATTTTGCTATATTTGTACCATAATCTCTTCCGCTCCTCTACAGATGAGAAGGAAAGACCCGGCCTGTTGCTGATACAGAGCATCAGTTTGTCAAGCATTTTGTGCATCCCTTGGGATTAGTGCAGCTATGAAATTGTATCATTACCGTTGCTTGCTGCTGTACTGAACCACAAGGCAGGGCCTGAGAGAATATGCATGCATGTTTGTGCAATGACATTTTTAAGCCACGGTTTGCCTTTTCATTTCTTTATATCCTGCATACTAATCCAGCCCCAGAGTATTCCAAGCTGATGCCCAGAACCAGAATTTCCTTCTGTTTTAAACAAGCTATTTAAGCGATTTCGCCACAGCTCATTATTTACAGATAGGTGAACTGTTGCTTTTTGCTTAGACACATTTACAACTTCTGAAGGGAGAGGCAGTCTTGCAGACTGCTGTGAAGAGATTTGGATTTCAACCTTTGTCTCCATGGCGTACCTTTGAAAAACAGAACTATCGCAGACACAGGATTTGGCTCTGCAAGCACTAAAATGCACACATAAAGTGCAACAACAGCATCAAAGTCATGGTTTTGCAATATCTGGGCCTTATTTAAGACTGTGAGCCAGCCTGGAAGCACTTTATTTTAGGCAGATTTGTTTTCCACTTTTTTTTACAGAAAAGCAAACTTTAGAGCTCAATAACCACCAATCTGACAGGAAAGTCATACACCCATCAGAGAGAGAAGTGGGCTTGAAAGAGCTTCCCTTGACATGCTACAGAAGTTACTATTTCCTTGGAAGTCTCTATGTTAAAAAAAAAAAAAAAGCTTGTAAGCTAAATCTATAAATGAACAAATGAACGATAAGAGCTGGTCTCAGCATTTCCTGTTGTTCCTGCTCCACCACGCTGAGCCATTGTGCTCCTGCTGGTCCCTAAGGGCTGTGCCAGAGCCAACTTGCAGCTCCCTGACAGGGTGTGACTGTGCTTTTGGACACAGCCCTAAGCAAACAGTAGCAGTGAACTTTTCCAGCCAGCGAGGGAAGTCACAGTGACGCAGCAAGCCATGCTTCCAGCAAAGCCTTGCCAGGAGGGATTAACTCTTCCCAAGGCAAAGGATTCTCTTCTCTGCTGTTCAGATCAGAGCAGGGGGCTCATATACCCACTCATCATGCAATCTTTCCTCTTCCATTGGCTTGGTAACCAGAAAAAACAGGAGTTCAATGCGCTGACATCATGTGGTTGTGGAGGGCATGGGAGGTTACAATCCCTTGTGTACTTTTCCAGAAGCATGAAGGTTAAAGCAAGGTTAACATTTAAAGTGTACAGAAGCAGAGTGAGGAAGCACCGTCCCAGCATCCTGGCAGCAATGTGCATGTCCTGTAAACTACTTACAGGCTGAAGCTGTGGCAGCCCAGAGCATTATTTTTAAATCTGAAAATGGGGTGAATGTTTACACTATATTACAAAATGTAATTTTAGAGAGAATTTCTTGAATTTACACAAAATCTGTGGTTGGGCTCTGGCACAGGTTGCCCAGGAAGGTGGTGGGATCACCATCCCTGGAAGTGTTCAGGAGATGTGGCACTGAGGGACATGGCTCAGTGGGCATGGTGGGGATGGGCTGAGGTTGGACTAGGTGATCTTAGTGGTCTTTTCCAGCCTTGATGATTCTATGATTCTGGGATTAAACTATAACATGTATCTCCTGAAAAACAAGAACTCTGATGACAAAAGGTGGCATGCAATGCTAGTACTGGAAATAGAGCTGTTGAATGATAAAAAAAAAATTGATATTTAAAAAAAAAAAAAAAAAAAAGTGTTTTGAATTTGTGAATGATTTTGTTCATATTTTCCAAGGAGAGAAATTGCTTAGGACCTCTACCATGGGATTTTGCAGTTAGGTTTCTGTGCTTTAATAAAGGAGCCCACATACAAATGGATTGAAATATATATTATGTATTTTAAAGTGTTATGTTAACAAAAATGTTTTTCAAATTCGAGAAAAGGATAATGAAACTCAATTGCAAGAATTTCAATTGCATTCCTTGGTCTTTATTCTTTTGGTTGCAAACAATACATCCAACTGAGGTGCATGCAAAGAAACTGAGAATCAGGCACTTTCCCTGGTATCTAAAAGCAAAATGAATGAACTTTGCAATGTAGACATTGATCTCAAGCAGCTGGTTTTGCATTAAACAAATTTTCAGAAGTCTGATATCCTTTTAGACTCTGTGATAACTAGCACAAACTGTTAGATAGCAAACACAGCATTTCTCAAATACTGCTGAGTAGTATTTCCACTCAAGCACTAAAGTATACCCCAACATCTCTGATGGAAAACAAATATACAGCTAGGCAAACATGTGTGGCACGTTCTAGTTAAGGCCAAATGGAAGCAACCTCTAAAAGGAACAGGTGCTTGGAAGATACAGTTATTTTTTTATAGCAGCACTCACTATTTCATCTCCACATCTCAAGGGGTCTGCAGTGACATAACTAACTCCATGCAGTCGTGAAGTTGAGATTTTCTTCCTTTCAGTTTCAGATACAGAAGGATATCTGCAAATTGGAAAGCAGAATTTGGAGCAAATAAGTGACAGCACTGTACACGGAAATGAAGGTTTGGGGAAATGTCATGCTTGTTCTCCACAACAGGAAAGTGGATACATGGAAGCATCATCATGGATAATGTGAGAAGCATTTTGCCATTTACACATAAAAATCACTTATGTGTTGAGATTAAGAAGCAACTCCAACATCCAGATTTGGGAGAAATTGGCTGTCTCAGTTGAGCATTAGCAGTTACAAAATTCAACACAATTTATCTGGCTGAAACTCAACAGAATTGAAACACTCATCAATACGTACATTAAGAAACATACCAGCTTTGAGCAAGCTGAGTGCTATGAATAAAGAGCAGAAAGGGAAGCGCTCCCTTCAGTCTCATGCAGTGGACTCCTGTGGCTGTAGGGAGCCCTGAAATATTCTACCCAGCTCCAAGGATCAGGCCAACAGGGCAACTGAAAACTCTTGTCTTCATGTGTTGGTCACTAAGTACACTTAGGCTTTTACTATTCTTTTAAGGATAATTACTACTGCAATAGCTTTATCAACAGGTTTACTGCTATTGGTTTAGGTAATGTTTTATAATTGCAGTCTGCCTATGTTAAATAATAACATCTGTTGACAGAATTGGGAAAAGGTTCTTCCCTGTTGAAAAAGCTAACATCTCAGATGCAGGCTTTATATTAAGAGAAGACAATGTTAACAATAACTGAAGTAGAAAGGACACTTACTTAGAAGGCATTACATGGACCTGCCTTTACAGGAGTGTACCTGGGATTTGTCAAAATGCACTAGAACTAGCTGGACTGCAATTGAAAAGGAAGGTCTGGGTGGTGTGGGTTCACTTATTTGACTTGGATTTGCATTGAGCCACAGCCATGAGAACCATTTTAGTGGAAACATCACAAAGTGCTCTATGTGGACTTAAACTTTTGTCCCCGAGATTAAAGGCAGGAAATCTTGAATTACAGGTTTTAAACTGGACTGGAATATTTTTTCATTCCCAAAGACGGTATAAAGCATATTGTTTTACACTGCAGAAAGTCTGCCTGTATTTTTATTTATTCATTACTTTCAACTAACAAAATGGATTGTTGGCTTCCAGAAAAATGTCTGTACTCGTATACAGGAGCTCTATGTACATGTCAGAAAATATAAAACTGAAAGTGATTGGACACTGATTGGTAATAAAGGTGAAAGTACACAGTTCATTTTCGTTGCTCACGATAGAACAAAGCAAACAATCAGGAATAAAAGCCAAGTTAATTAAATTCCAAATAACTTTCAGTGTAATAAGTTACAGTGGTATTAGTAGCACAAGCTAGGAAATTTATTACTAAAAATAGCATTTTTTCAGTCTCCCTGGGTTTCCTCTGTACTTGTAAAGAGGGGCGAGCACACCCAGAGGGCATTTCAGCTCTTAGGAGAACCAAGTTATTTCCTCATAGGTACTCAATCTCTTTTTTTTTTCTCTGTAAAAATATGTGTGTATATTCAGTCACACAGAAATACACACACAAGAAAAGATTTCTGTGTGCATACACAAATATGTCTGTCTCTCTGTGTGCATAGGACACACGTTTATGTGCTCATGTGTGCACAGTCCCCAGCAAGTTGTCAGACTCTTACCACTTAGGAGTGATAAATGCAGGCGGGGGAGTTTGGCAGAGCTTATTCTAACTCTCCTCTTTTACTGTTTTCACAATCATGTTGGAAAACGGAGTTTCTTCTGACTTACACTGGTTTACGTCATCTCAGAGTAATGTTTTGAGAATAAAGCTTACCAGAAAAAAAAAAAAAAAAAAAAAAAGATTATATGGCTCTGAATAGAAGCTGGTGCTCAAAGAGCTGATGCATGTTTTAGCGCTCAGAATGTCATACCTGGGAAACAAGCAGTCACATCTTTGGCTCATGTGAACAAGTACAGCTCCCACAACCTCAGCTCTCCTCAGCCTGAGCGTTCCTTGACCAGCATTTGGATCTCCCTGTATGTTCCCTTGGGACCACCTTGCATGAGGTTGTCCTCTGCAAAGCCCTTAGAGCAGACAGATCTATCTGTCGAGGCTGGGCTGTGCCAGGCACATCAGTCCTTTCTGGCCCAGAGGTGGTTGGCTTCTTTTCAGTTTTGCTCTGAGCACACCAGCGAGTGAAACTCTACTGTTACCAATGCAAAATGCATGAACTTCACTGAGATGAGTGCCCTCTGCTTAGTGCTTGGGGGAGAAGGCTTGGCCTCTCACATACAGTATTTTGGCTCTTGTTTGGAGGTCACTGCAGGAATGATGCCAGCATGTAAATATGAATCTCACTGAATGCTGGTCACAAACAGGTTTGGGCAGGAGCTACTGCATCTCTCAGTGTGGTAAACACAAAACATTTTATGTTACAATTATCTTAGTGTGACTGTTATCACTGAGTTCCTCGATCTTTGAAGATTACCAAGTATAACTGAACAGGTAAACTCTGCGTCTGCAGAAATACTGTGCACATCAACAGTGCTGGGCTTATCTTAATACCAAAGCTCATTCAGTTACCTAAGTTACTCTATGTGTGAGATTGCAGGTTTTAAGGAAATTCCTGGTGGTGGCTGAGGTTCCTAAATAAAAGCTCTGTAGCTGCACATTTTATCCCGGTAACAGTGGTTAGTATTACATCAGTGTGATTGCTTTCTTCCCTTCATGTTCTAATCATAGATCCGAAGCAGGCTGGCTGAAAGAGAGCACCAAATTTCAAGTGACTCACACAATCCTGAAGTGTCAACTCCACACCTTCAGCACACTCCCTGGTTACCATGTGGCAGCCAGAGATGTGTGAGTAGCTCCGACTGCATTTGCTGTCACTGAGCAATTGTAACACTGAGGGAGAACACAAGAAAGCCATAGCTGCAGTGGCCAAACAGCACCCTCATCCCTTCATACAGCTCTGACTGTTGGGTCTCAGAGACTATGTCCAATGAAAGGGTCATCTACAGAACAAAGTGTGTGAAGATTCCACTGTTTCTACCAGTCATAGCTGCAGCTCTCCCCATCCTTTTAATGCACTGTGACAGAGGAAGGCAGCTCTAAGTTACTCAATAAGTGTACGTTCTCTTTGTTTTACTGCAAGGTACGTGTATGCCTGCTATGTAAGCCTGCAGACACCATGACAACTTATCTTGTAGTGTCTATGCACAGATTTACATTCTAGCAGATGCTTGAAGAGCCATCACTGCTATTACCACTGAGTGGTGCTGGTTACTTCCAGTGACCATAAACAAAATGTGGTTCTGGTCATGGGAAGAATAGATACTATATATTTTTCCTGCTTGTATGCTGTCCATTATGTCATTCTCTTCAGTATGAACTTTCAAGTCAGGTTGTCTTATCATTGCAAAGCTTTAACGTCTGAGAAAAAGAAAGAATATTTAGCTAGATAACAATGCATTTCAGCTACAAAGGTGACCTCTAGCTAGAAAATGAACACCCAGGTCACAGACAGGACTGTGTTTTTCTTTCTAACTCCTCTGAAATTAGGGGGAGATGAAAAAAAAAAACAGCCAAAACAGACTGCATGATAAAAGCTCTAAGAAGTAAAGGTTTACTGAGCATATCTAAGCTGAGATGACTTGATGAATAAATACATCATGAGCTGACAGCCTAAGTGGTTTATCTCTGTGTCACTACTGAGTTACTCCTCTGTTAATTCCCTCACTCTGTAAAGCTTAGTTTATGCATTTTCTTTTATCTTTATTAACGTTTAAACACATTCCTGGAGTATTTCAGTTTTTTTTCTGACTTGATGTATTTTCTCTCTGTTGATACTAATTTATTTCTGTAGTCCATTACCACCTTTGAAATGCTGAAGTTTTTTTATTCTGTCTCAGCTTTGCCCAGTAGATCAGTTTTAGGGAAGAGTGTGATGTTTAATGCAGCACATCAACACAGTATCACATGCAAAAGTACTCAGTGGCTGTAGGAATCTAACCTAGTAGTGGAGACAGCAAACTATAAAGTCAGCAGGGAGTGGTGGTCATATCAGACAAAACCAACAAATGCAGATGCTGGCAAGTGGGTTCTACTTTATTCTCCTTGCCCAGCTGCTCATAACCCACTGCATGAGTTGTTATCAGCCCATCTCAAAGCCTGCCTTTCTTCTTGATTTAGATTTGAGCTCTTGATTTTCCACCCACGCATTGTGTTAATTTGCCTCCCTCGTGTTGAACAGAGAGCAGATCAAGGGCTGTCATTCTGCTCAGCTTAATCTCCAGGCATAAAAAGTACAAAAAGCCCCACAGTTTCAGAAAGCTCGCTGATTAGTCAGCGGAACCACTGTCGTGGCAACAGCAATGCAGAAAACACCTTTACAATTGCACCTGCGCATGATGAGCAGTGACACAAGCCACAAAGAGATCTCGTAGGTCAAGAAGCCTCTCAGCCATGAAAGTAAAGTTCAGTTCTGTCACACTCAGGATGGCTATGGAATTTCTCACCAGCATGTTAACCAGCACCACAGAAAAGAGCTGATAAGTTATAGTTGTACCACAGCAGTTGTGGTGAATGTGCTTTGCTGGACTTCTTTAAATTCTCTTCCCTAGTCTCTCCTTCTCCATACACAGGCCAGGGGAGTACCGTGTATATCCTTGCAGATGGCAAATACTGAAGTCCCTGTTTGCTTGCATGGAGGATCAAAAGTCTCCTAGTATTTTTTGCATCCTGCAATACAATTGATGCAATGGGGGCAGTGAAGTGTTCAGTTGTGCTTGCCAATGGTTTCAGGAGGAAAGATGAAGATCTCATTGTATTTAAAATGAGATGTCGTGCAAAAGTCCTGGCAAAGTGATGACTTAAATGAGGTATCTTGCCACAGATGTTTTCCAGGATTGGATTGAACTGCTCAGTGCAGGTTCTACTCTATGGGTAAAGTGTGAGATTTCAGTATGTGCAGTTTTAAGATACATTCAAGTATAGGTATCATCAACATCTCTCTTTAAAGAGCACATTCATGTTGAATCCTCATGAGAGGTTCATGTTCCTTCCTCTTTAATAATGCACAACCTTGTAGCTTGTGCTGTCTCTAGGAAACATTGGCAACCTGCAGGAGAAGCAAGGGATTCTTTGGAGACAGCTGTTTTCACACATTTAGATGCTCCTGTTCATGTCCCCAGTTTTGCTGTGTACTCAGTGTTATACATATATTGCATAGCACACATGTTCATGTAGGCACACCTAAATGTATCGAAAAATACACTTGCATACAGATATATATATACATACAAAAGCGCATGCACATCCTTTTTTAGGATTCAAATTTTTGTGGAGTGATCACAGTTTAATTCAGCCGGTCTGTGCTGGCAATTGTACAGAAAATGCTCTGTATTATGCACTGTTCTACATAATCATTCATCATATCTCATCAATTCTCCTCTTTGAATGTAAGGAACTTTACAAACCAGTGACCACTGATGTATAGTATATGCTGGGCCATCTATAGCTCTTTTGTGTATGAATGTACCTCTACATATAAAATGACAGATCTCTAGTTGATACATTGATTAATGAACCAGTACTGTTCTGTAGACACCACTGAATCGCTAGATTTACTTCTGCAGAGCCTCTGATCTGTGATATTCTATGATGCACAAAAACCAAGAGGATTTATTGAGCTTTAGGTATAAGAAAGTTATTATATAGAGTAGGAAAACAGGTTAAAAAAACCTGGAGACTGAAAAAGATAAGCCTAACTATAACCTATGTCTAATTTTGCATATAAGCAGCAACACCTTAGTTTTGCATTTTTACTGATATTTCCATCTGTGAAGCTAATTGACTCACTGCGAGCCCAAGCAGAAACTTCAAGTACAAAGAAGATAACAGATATTTCTCATTCTCCAAACTAGATCCATTGTTTAAAAAACTCTCATGTTGCACATCCAGCACACACTGTGACCAGCAATAGATGAATGTGTCTGTTACTAACACCGAGATTAAATATTATTTACTTTGCATTCAGTTCCAGTAATTTGGAGAATGGAATTCTGTATGGGAACAGAAGATAACACTTCAACAACAGGTCAATGAGAAGAAAAGAAAGACAGTGAAACACAGCAACTGTGTGAAAACATACAGAAGTTCAGAAGGTTAAAAGGGTTGAGCCAGTATTTTCTCACAAATAAGATTACACAGAAAGATAAACAGAAAGCAATTTTCCTCACTATCTGTGGCAGTAAAAGTTAACGCCCTATGAAGTGTCTTTTTTGCAATCTAACCAAGCAGGAACCATAAGTCTACAAGACCTGTAAAAGATCTCTACATGCCCCAAAGAAGGCTGCAAAGGCAGTAAGCATCTTCAAATTTCGTAACAGAATAAGGAAATGAAACAGGAGATCAATACCTGGCACAGCTATAAAGAAAAATGAACATGTATTTGGAAATGTCTTGGAGAACTTACTTCAGTGCAGATGTATAGTTTTAGTGATGAATGACTTTAGAATCTTTTCATGAGAGGGAAACAGAACTTGACCCAAAGATGCTGGATTTGCAATGACAGAAGGAGTAGTCAAAGTTCAGGGACACATGAACTGACTCAGTAAACAAAGCAAAACATATAGGCAGCTGGGAACACCACAGATTCTTCTGTCTCCAGTATGAGTTCATTCTATATGCACTTGTAAATGTCAGTTATCTGCAAATGTCAGACAGGCCTCCAAGAGCAGAACCATAGCTAGGACAATGCTAACTAGAATCTGCCTCACGGGTGGTCTCTACCCACAGAGGACACAGAAAAAGGGAAAAAAGCCAAATTTGGGATTGTGAGGAGGAAATGAGTTGGTATAGCTTGTGTTGTACACAACAGCAACCAACAAAGCAATGGTGGAATTAAATAGTTCTAATAGAGCTGCAGCTTCTCTCACCACAAACCCTCCATATCAGCAGCACCAAGACGAATCAAGCACCTACAGAAACAAGTTTGCTCCTACCCAGATGGAAGCTATCCATGAGAACGGGTTAGAGTTCATCTCATCAAAGCAGGAAAACTAAAATCACACTGCAGTGGTTAGTAGTGTCAGGAAATAAAAGTTGAGCAGCAGAAAAGAAACCAATTTACAGACCTGTTGCAGGGAGTTCATGTGTACAACAAC